GGTGCCACTGAGTCAGTTAAAACTGGCAGTGACCCTGCAAACACCAAAACGAAGCAACGCCCAGTCCGGAGCATCTTCACAACGTCCTATGTGAGGCCCTGTCCACACAGAGGACCAACACTTCATCCCGGATTCCAGCACCAAAGCTTTAATGGCCAGGGGGAGGTGCTGAGCAATGTGTTTTGTCCTGAAATGGGGCAGTAGGCCCACTAAGTTTGGGAATGTGTGGTTTAGGTGGTCAGAAGTTCAAAGTTATCTCTCTCTCTCTGAAGGTCCTTGTCTCGTCGCCTCCCACTTCCTGGCTCCTTGGAAATCTCCCTGTGTCTTGTCTTTTATCTGAACTCGTGTCTTCTCTGCCCAGGTGTTTCACAGTTTCACCATCTTACAGAAGAACGACTCAAGGTGTAGTCTACAGGAACCCTAACCCATTACCAGAGGAAGCCCTTTCCCACATGGGAGAATACCCCCCCCCCCCAGAGGCTAGGACTGACAACCCAATCTGGGGGACGCAATTCCATCCAGACCGCCGCTTGGTTTTACAAAGACGTCAGGGGGTATTTTTGGTTTAAGGGTTTGAGGACGATCTTCAGGGGATAGTCTGGGGGGCGCGACATCCAGTCTCCGTGGCTCCAGAAGGTCTGGATTCTACGAGACATGGAAATTCTGCTCTGCTCCCCCCACCCCCGTTGGTGATCTCCAGGGCTTTGTTAGCTCGTGATGGCTGGAGTCACCTTGTTTTGGTCCACTCACTGCCATTGAGCCAAATCAGACTCATAGTGACCTCCTATAGGGCAGGGTAGAGCTGCCCTGTGGGTTCCCGAGACTGTAAATCTCTACGGGAGTAGAAACGCCCATCCTTCTCCTGCAGAATGGCTCATGGGTTAGAACTGCTGACCTTGCAGTTATCAGCCAATGCACACTCCACTTTTCCCACAGCCTGCTTTAATTCTGTCCAATCAGAGGAGCGCTTTAGGGTTTCCCAGATGCTGGGGGTCTCTCTCAGCTCCTTTGGCTGCCCACTGATCCTGAGCATCATTCCAGTACACCCAGAGGTCCCCAGAGGGGTTTGGCCCCACAAAGTCCAGCACCCCTGGCTGCGCACATCAGGCCAAACCCACAGGAGAGGAAGCCTCTCCTCAGCCACAAGGCCTCCCAGCACACCATTGCTGTGGTGTCTGACCCAAGTTGAAAACCCAACCTCCTTACCATCCTTCTATTACCAGTATCAACTCAAGATTTGTCCTGGAGACCTGCTCGCTTTTCTTAGGCATCTGCCTCCTTCCTGGGAACCAGGAACAACCACATCAAACCATTACCCGGAGAGTTAAACAACCAGCAAAAGCCCTGCAGATCTAATGCACCATGCCGAGCCTTCTCAGCCCTCCTCTTTCCCTGTGCATCAACACGAGCAAAACCCAAAGCCCCTGAGGTCTTGTCTTCAGTGACAGAAGCCTTAACCTGGCAAAGCGAAGGCTGCTAGGGTGACCTTCCACCCGAAGACGTTTCCTTTCCTTTTTTTGCTTTTATTTACAATTAGAGAGATGTTCTTAGCATGAGGACAACTGTTCAAGGGGCAGTTACAGGACTGGTAGAGCTCTTTCAGGGAGAGAGAAATGCACTCTATTTCTCAAGAAGCTTGTGCGGAGGGTCTTGAGTGCCCTCTCTGGTGCCTGCTGCTCATGACAATGAGCTTCAAGTAGGTGAGTAGTC